GCACCTTTGTCACAGGCCTTTAATGAAAAGAATGCGAAGTTGAACACTCAGTTCCTAGGTTCCACCTGCAGGGTAAGAGCAGCCAGTCTTTGTGGACCTGTGTTTTGGGTAGATCTCTAACCAGGAGCGAGAGCCAATAAGCTCCCAAGCATTCACTATGTTCTCATCATAATTGCATTTACATGGCGCTTGCTTAATCGCCTCTGGCAACTCTGAGTTTTGCATCGTATCTGGTCTCAAACACTCGAAACATCCCCAAGTGGCAGCTGCCCCTGTGTGGCACAAGGTGGTGGCCCTGCAGCGGCCTGCGTGTGGACAAGAGCCTGTCAGTAGGGGGCGATGGTTGATGTGGCGTCTCAGTTGTGGAGTTTGTAGCTAATGTTTGGAATTTGCTACATTTTAACTCGGATGCCAGCATGCAATGGCCGACTCGTTTTGAATGGTGCATTAGTATGTTGTACAGATACTGTTAAGCAGACGGTGCATATTTTTTAAATTAGCTTCTTGTTAATAGGATGTAAACTAATAAAGCATATTTCAGTGCAGTCATTCAATTTTGTTCATATGCCTGTCACGAATTTAGACTGAATACTTGTCTGATGGTGCGCGTACATGTAACCTTTTGTCTTTAAGGGTCAAACATTGAATAAGTGATGTTAGGACACAGTGTGTGTTTTGCAAGTAACCTGTACAGATAACTCAGGTGAGACTCATTGTTCTTGTGATACAGGTCAAAGGGTATTTTTGTGTTTTCAGGAAGCGTCTCCCTCTGGAGCAGCAACTCATTGTCTTTGAAATAGCGAGCACGCTCGGATCATTGATCAGTTACAAGGCATACCAATTAAAAGTTACACGAAAAGGAGGAACATTCTCTACAACACGAATTATAATTTTGTATTACGTGTTGACAAAGATTTTGTCGAATTAGGATAAGAAATGGTCCTTGCTGATTGGAAAGTCACGAAAAGAATTGCACACGAGCGACGCATCCACGCAAGCTCCCGATGCTCCGTTTTGACGTTTAAAAATGAAACAACTTTGAATTGTATTATGTTTTGAATTTGATAATTGTATTTCTTCATTAAAAGCTTTTTATTTTACATCTGGAAGACTTCATTGAAAACGACATTTCCTGTGAATTTTCTCTCGTCGTGAAGTAGATGGCCTTGCCGGGGATTCTGTTCGATGCGGACTTTCACCTGGTTGGGATCGCGGGGTGGAGATGAGGCGACACAGAGCTGGCCGTGCGAGAAGACCGCCGTCTGCAGATCGATTCCAACGTGATCGAACGTCTGTCCCTGTGCCTCCGTCGTTCATGCAGGGGACGCGTAGGTTTGCAGTGCCCCCTGCATGAAAGCGACGGAACGTGCAGCGTTCGTCACGAAGTTGTGCGTAAGCGCCATAACAAGGCGCTGTCAGCTGACCTGCCACCACGTGCACGGGTCAACAGGGGGCAGCCGAGAGAGAGAGCGAGGTGCGTAGGGGTCGACCAAAGGTTAAACCCCCGGCCCCCCACCGTGACCGGAGACTAACACCCCTGACCCCCCACCCGTCCCTAAGACCCCTTAAGATAAGACCTTCCAGAAGGTTCTGGGAGGGGGGGGGGGTCAGAAGGGGAGGGGCGACCCCGACATGGGGATAAAAGTCCGGCCCTCTGGACGGGCCGGGCGGTGTTCAGCTCAAGCCTGAGGACATCCCAAGACGTGAAGACTGGAGCGGCACCCGGGGACCCTCAACGAGGCTCTAACCAGAGCCGCGTTGTAGCGGACCCGAGGTGAGCTCCTGTCCCCTGGCTGGGACGGGTCGTCCAGTCTTCCCTGAACGCCGCCGGGCTCAGGGACCCGTGGGTGGCAGAGCCCGGAGTGTGCAGGCTGCTGCTGCGGTAGAAAGGGCTGTCACTCCCGTGGGCTGTCGGGTGGAAGGGGCCGTACCCCTGCGTGCTAGAGTCGTGGCTGGAGGAGCGGAGTTCGACAGAGTTGTTACAATGAACGCGTCGCCTCAACCAGACGTCCCCGTGTGGTGAGTCAAGGACACGAGACTGACACTAAAGAGCATCGCCAGTGGGTTTTAAAAGCGCCTTCGTCTTACAGAAATCAATGTCGCGTGAGCCCACCGCGTTACAACAATGCTCAGCTGCAGCTCACGTGACTTCTGCCGCGACAATGTCTGGATGTTTTCGCCCGAGGACGACTGCTCGTGTTGCGATCGAAACGTCGTGATTTATTTATTATTTACTTTTTTCTACCTACGTGACTTTACTGAAAGAACCAAAGAGTATGAAAGACGTCTTGTCTGCTGATCTTGTTCATGTCCGTGTACATCGATATCCCACATTGCTTACACCACACACATCGGTTTCATTTTATTATTCATTTCTGTTTTTCTTGAGTAAGCAAGCAAGCAAGTGAAGTTAATATAAAGGATTTAAAACTGAAAGATCACCTCTTAACATGCCCCGTATATTCCAGAGGGCACTAGCGTTGACCCGTTTTACCACTTTCAAGAACCTGGCGGCTTCAATGTAACTGCTCTATAAATAGTCTCCAGTGTACAGCGTGGGGGCAGGGATTTCATGCCATGTGGTTAGTCAACATTTGCGTCATCATGAAACGGGCGGCTAGAGTCCTCTCGTCCTCTGGCTTGAGATGGCTGTCACCTATGGGTCAGAGATGATTGTCTGCCACCATTAAGCAATTGGTAATTAAATATTTAAAAGAAATTGCCTAAACAGTGTAAAAATGTAAAAAAAAAATTTTCACGAAAATTGTCACGCACAACGAGTCTGTGTGCAAAATGTCAGCTCGATTGGATCACGGGAAGTGGGTTAAAAAACGACCGAAAGATTTGCACGGTCGTAAGCAAGCAAGCAAGTGAACTTAATATAAAGGATTTAAAAATAGATTAGATCTTTGAATATTGCAGTTGTGTAATGAGCGTGTTGACTCTGGTGAGGTACTAATAGCGATTAAACATCTCACCCAGCCAGTGCCCGGCTAGCTCAGTCGGTAGAGCATGAGACTCTTAATCTCAGGGTCGTGGGTTCGAGCCCCACGTTGGGCGCGAATGTCTTTTAATAATTTTCAATAAAAAATCCTCGCTTTCTCGAAAATAAAAAAACCCCAAGCGTCTCCATATTGTTCACTACACTCTTCAAGAACAATGATAATAGCCAATTCCATGTCATTCTCGACACGGCGTGTAGCGAGTGAACGCGAGTGGAGGCTGCTACACGAGGAGGCGACTTGGCGAGCTGAGTCCCCAGCGCGCGGCGAGCTCAGCGGGTGGCGCGCGGCACGCGGCGGCGTCTCGGGCTCGCGGGTTCGAGCCCCACGCTGGGCGCCGCGCAGTTCATTTATTTCTATCGCAAAACACCAACATCCTTCGCGTCTCTTAGAACCCCGCGTCAAGATGACAACAACAACAAGCAGCAACGTTTAGACAAAATATAAACCACAACAAGTCGTCTTGTGAGCCATGTAAGCGCGTAACAACGACTGCTTCGTCACTCAAAGCTGCTCTAGAGGAGTTGTACACCCCGAGCTGTCGCTGCTGTTCAGTGGCCTCAAAGTATGACCTGTCTTCTTGGTTCTTTCGCTAAAGTCAAGTAGAAGGGAAGTAATAAAATAATAAAAATAAAACATTCAGACGCTGTCTCCCCGACAGACCTGGTCTTCATCTGAGGACGGCTGCTTGCGTTGTGGCCGAAACGTCGTGAGAATTATTTTATTATGTTTTATTTTTATTATTTTATTACTTCCCTTCTACGTGACTTTACCGAAAGAACCAAGAAGATGAATCGCTGCAGTCACGAAAGCTTTAAATCAAAGTATGACCTGTGTTTTGATTTAGTGCGCTGATCTTAAAGGTGCATTGAGAAATTATAATTCTGCGACTGCTGCTCCTGCTGCTGCTGCTGTAGTGGAGAGACTCGTGCAGCAGCAGCAGCTGTGGCTGCAGGTTCTGCTGGTACGTGTTGTTTATGAAGTTTATTGTGAAAACTCCGTCACAGTTCCTATGACCTGCACTGTTTCATTGCTTTCATGGCTTTATTTTGGTGATTTCGAAAAGTGTATTGGTTTATCCATGTTTGTGTTGTTGTTGTAGTACAGAGTTAGACTGATGGCCTTAATCTAAGTTGTCTTGTGGTTGTTGTTGTTGTTGTTTGACTTGCATCCCACTGGGATGTTTGCACAGTGTTGGTGTGTAACGGTGCTTTCTCTGCAATATTTTGCTGTCTTTTCTTGGATTTTCTGTTTAAACTTAGTCGCACATTCACTTTAAGATGTTTTTTTGTTTGTTGCGGTTGCACCCGATTCAAGAGCCGAATGGCTCACAGGGCTTGTACCTACTACTGTACATTAACTTGAACTACTTTGGCGCAAAGCAAGAACAACAACAACACAGCCAATCGCCGTCACTCCCTTGTTGCTAGGTCAACTGTATTCATATTAATGATGAAGGTTTTATATATTTATTTACTTTAGCCGCAGATGTTTTGCCGGTCAGAGCAAAGAACTTGTGTGCAGCGTGACAAACAGTGAACAGCAGCCGCCTTGAATGTTGCGTGCGTTGGCAGATGAGATTATTGTCATAATAAAGTAACACGCGTGTGGTGTAGAAGCTGGTAATCATTGCAAGTTTTTTTTATAACGGGAACAGCAAAACGAAACGTAAGTAACTGAGAAGACGTTAAAGTGAACTTAGCACTAATATATGACTGTAAGGCAAAATCAAGAGCGGCAGTTTTCTGAGAACAGACGAACACGTGTTGTACACCAGTAAGAGCATCAATACTGCAGCTGCTGCTGCAGCTGCTGTTACATTTCAAACCGACCATTTGAAATCCACGACGATTTCTCAGACTCCTACAATATTTAATCTTTCGTGTAAAAAAAAATCATTCTTGGAGCTGCAGAAGAAGGGACAGTCCACCATCAACCAACCCGCCCCCCACCACCACCACCTTGTAACGAAAAGGGCCCCCCACGACCCCAGAAGGAATGGAGTTGATGTGTGGCGAGGCAGCTGGCATCAAGAGGGCTTTAGTAGATCCCCACCTCCTGCACGACAAGAGGGTTTTGTCCAACTTGCTGAGCTTGGAGGAGCGCTACGTGCCCAGGGCGTCGTACTTCAAGTGCGGCGTGCAGACCGACATCCAGCCCTTCATGAGAAGGACGCTCGCCACGTGGATGCTGGAGGTAGCGTGGTGTCATCAACGTCAAACATCATCGCCACCAACATCATCGCCATCATCAACATCACTATCATCATCATCACTATCATAATCATCACTATCATCACCACCAACATCATCACTATCATAATCATCACTATCATAATCATCACTATCATAATCATCACTATCATAATCATCACTATCATAATCATCACTATCACCACCATCATCATCATCACTATCACCATCATCATCACTATCATAATCATCACTATCATAATCATCACTATCACCACCACCACCATCATCACTATCATCATCATCACTATCAACACCATCATCATCATCACTATCAACACCACATCACTATCATAATCATCACTATCATAATCATCATCACTATCACCACCATCATCATCACCACTACCACCATCATCATCACTATCATCATCATCATCACTATCATCATCCCCACCACCACCTTCATCATCACTATCACCATCATCCTCATCACCACCACCACCACCATCATCACTATCACCACCATCATCACTATCACCACCATCATCATCACTATCACCAACATCATCACCACCATCATCATCACTATCACCACCACCATCACTAGGGTGAGTGAGTGGGTGGGACGGTGAGTGGGTGGGTGAGTGGGGGGGTGAGTGAGTGGGTGAGTGGGGGGGAGTGGGTGGGGGGGTGAGAGGGGGGGTGAGTGGGGGGGTGAGTGGGTGGGTGAGTGGGGGAGAGTGAGTGCGTGGGTGAGGGGGTGAGTGAGTGTGTGGGTGGTTGAGTTGGTGAGTGAGTGAGTGGGGGGGTTGAGTGAGTGGGGGGGTGAGTGGGTTCATAGCGCTCACGGCCAACACCAGTGACGATTATCTGAACCGGTCCTGGGCCTCCCCTAGGTCGACTCAGCCTCAAATGAGTACTTGGTGCGGTGTGTAAATATCGCCACTGGGGAGACAAAGGCGGTCGGGCGTGGTGCTGGCCACCCACCCCTCGTGTACCGTTCCGGCCTTCATAGGTGCTACTCGCTAACAGCACTTGCCCCTACAGTCTGTTAAGGCTACACGGGGGATCTTTGTCTGTGTGTGCACGTGTACATATCTGCCGCGAGTGATACATTAGTTAATGTCTGTATACTGTAGATGCAGGTAACGTGAAATAAAATATGCGCGTCGTTAATTGTGAACGTGAACACGTGTTTGTGTGTGTGTTAGTGATGTACTGTGTGTGTGTTAGTGATGTATTGTGTGTGTGTTAGTGATGTACTGTGTGTGTGTTAGTGATGTACTGTGTGTGTGTTAGTGATGTACTGTGTGTGTGTTAGTGATGTACTGTGTGTGTGTTAGTGATGTACTGTGTGTGTGTTAGTGATGTTCTGTGTGTGTGTTAGTGATGTATTGTGTGTGTGTTAGTGATGTACTGTGTGTGTGTTAGTGATGTACTGTGTGTGTGTTAGTGATGTACTGTGTGTGTGTTAGTGATGTACTGTGTGTGTGTTAGTGATGTACTGTGTGTGTGTTAGTGATGTATTGTGTGTGTGTTAGTGATGTACTGTGTGTGTGTTAGTGATGTACTGTGTGTGTGTTAGTGATGTACTGTGTGTGTGTTAGTGATGTACTGTGTGTGTGTTAGTGATGTACTGTGTGTGTGTTAGTGATGTACTGTGTGTGTGTTAGTGATGTATTGTGTGTGTGTTAGTGATGTACTGTGTGTGTGTTAGTGATGTACTGTGTGTGTGTTAGTGATGTACTGTGTGTGTGTTAGTGATGTATTGTGTGTGTGTTAGTGATGTACTGTGTGTGTGTTAGTGATGTATGGTGTGTGTTAGTGATGTACTGTGTGTGTGTTAGTGATGTACTGTGTGTGTGTTAGTGATGTACTGTTGTGTGTTAGTGATGTACTGTGTGTGTGTTAGTGATGTACTGTGTGTGTGTTAGTGATGTATTGTGTGTGTGTTAGTGATGTACTGTGTGTGTGTTAGTGATGTACTGTGTGTGTGTTAGTGATGTACTGTGTGTGTGTTAGTGATGTACTGTGTGTGTGTTAGTGATGTACTGTGTGTGTGTTAGTGATGTACTGTGTGTGTGTTAGTGATGTACTGTGTGTGTGTTAGTGATGTACTGTGTGTGTGTTAGTGATGTACTGTGTGTGTGTTAGTGATGTATTGTGTGTGTGTTAGTGATGTACTGTGTGTGTGTTAGTGATGTACTGTGTGTGTGTTAGTGATGTACTGTGTGTGTGTTAGTGATGTACTGTGTGTGTGTTAGTGATGTACTGTGTGTGTGTTAGTGATGTACTGTGTGTGTGTTAGTGATGTACTGTGTGTGTGTTAGTGATGTACTGTGTGTGTGTTAGTGATGTACTGTGTGTGTGTTAGTGATGTACTGTGTGTGTGTGTTAGTGATGTACTGTGTGTGTGTTAGTGATGTACTGTGTGTGTGTTAGTGATGTACTGTGTGTGTGTTAGTGATGTACTGTGTGTGTGTTAGTGATGTACTGTGTGTGTGTTAGTGATGTACTGTGTGTGTGTGTTAGTGATGTACTGTGTGTGTGTTAGTGATGTACTGTGTGTGTGTTAGTGATGTACTGTGTGTGTGTTAGTGATGTACTGTGTGTGTGTTAGTGATGTATTGTGTGTGTGTTAGTGATGTACTGTGTGTGTGTTAGTGATGTATTGTGTGTGTGTTAGTGATGTATTGTGTGTGTGTTAGTGATGTACTGTGTGTGTGTTAGTGATGTACTGTGTGTGTGTTAGTGATGTATTGTGTGTGTGTTAGTGATGTACTGTGTGTGTGTTAGTGATGTATGTGTGTGTGTTAGTGATGTATTGTGTGTGTGTTAGTGATGTACTGTGTGTGTGTTAGTGATGTACTGTGTGTGTGTTAGTGATGTACTGTGTGTGTGTTAGTGATGTACTGTGTGTGTGTTAGTGATGTACTGTGTGTGTGTTAGTGATGTACTGTGTGTGTGTTAGTGATGTATTGTGTGTGTGTTAGTGATGTACTGTGTGTGTGTTAGTGATGTACTGTGTGTGTGTTAGTGATGTACTGTGTGTGTGTTAGTGATGTATTGTGTGTGTGTTAGTGATGTACTGTGTGTGTGTTAGTGATGTATTGTGTGTGTGTTAGTGATGTATTGTGTGTGTGTTAGTGATGTACTGTGTGTGTGTTAGTGATGTACTGTGTGTGTGTTAGTGATGTACTGTGTGTGTGTTAGTGATGTACTGTGTGTGTGTTAGTGATGTATTGTGTGTGTGTTAGTGATGTATTGTGTGTGTGTTAGTGATGTACTGTGTGTGTGTTAGTGATGTACTGTGTGTGTGTTAGTGATGTACTGTGTGTGTGTTAGTGATGTACTGTGTGTGTGTTAGTGATGTACTGTGTGTGTGTTAGTGATGTACTGTGTGTGTGTTAGTGATGTACTGTGTGTGTGTTAGTGATGTACTGTGTGTGTGTTAGTGATGTACTGTGTGTGTGTTAGTGATGTACTGTGTGTGTGTTAGTGATGTACTGTGTGTGTGTTAGTGATGTACTGTGTGTGTGTTAGTGATGTACTGTGTGTGTGTTAGTGATGTATTGTGTGTGTGTTAGTGATGTACGTTGTCAACATTAGTGGCTACACACGCCACACACACAGCTACAGACAGTGCAGCAAACACGGCGTGGTTTGCATCTCCGTTGAACTCAAAAGGATAAAAAAACAACCTGGTACCGGTAGGAACCTCCTGGTTACACCAGCCCACAGGGGATTATTGTGTCCGTCGTGCAGGGAGGGGCTGGGTGGGGAGGGAGGGGAGGGGCTGGGTGGGGCTGGGTAGGGGGTGGAGGGGTTGGGCTGGGTGGGGAGGGGTGGGGGGGAGGGGGGGGGGGGGGTGGGGAGGGGCTGGGTGGGGAGGGAGGGGAGGGGCTGGGTGGGCTGGGTAAGGGTGTGAGGGGTTGGGCTGGGTGGGGAGGGGCTGGATGGGGAGGGTTGGGTGGGGCGGGTGGGGAGGGGCTGGGGCTGGGTGGGGGGTTGGAGGAGAGGGAGGGTTGGGCTGGGTGGGGAGGGAGGGGCTGGGTGGGGAGGGGCTGGATGGGGGGGGTTGAGCTGGGTGGAGAAGAGAGGGTGGGGCTGGGTGGGGAGGGGCTAGGTGGGGAGGGTGGGGCTGGGTGGGGAGGGTGGGGAGGGTGGGGAGGGGCTGGGGCTGGGTGGGGGGTTGGAGGAGAGGGGAGGGTGGGGATGGAGGGTGGGGCTGGGTGGGGGGGTCAGGGTCTCACCACACCACCCCACACACACAAAGAGTGGGGGTCAGGGGTCAGGGTCCCACCCCACGCACCACCAACCCACCAACCCCCCCCACTTTGGTTGGCCCGATTGTTGCGACTGTGACCTGAATTCATTTCGGAGCGAACGTGTCTCAGGAATTCAGGGACCGTCTCTCTTCTGCCAGGGACAAGCCCCTGTTGCTGTTACCAGCGCTTACCAATCTTTCTCTCGTGTCATCGCTTAACACTGTCGCTTGAATGCATCTTGCGACAACGACAACAACAACAAAAGCCAACATTAAATACAGTCAAACCTTGGATTTTGAGCATAATTCGTTCGCTTGTAATCCAAAGCACTCGTTCATCAGTTGTGATCACGTGACGCTCTGCAGACAAAGCGTACACTACATGTACTACTCGTATTGCAAGACCACTCGCTCGTTTATCAAATTAATATTTATTTTTAAAAATGTTGCTCGTCTTGCAAAACACTCGCAGACCAAGTTTACTCGCAATCCAAGGTTTTTGCTTGAAAATATTTATACACGTTGCATATGTGGTGTGCATGTAATATACACGCTTGGTTATCTCACTTGGGGTTTGCAACATCTTGAATTTATGCTGCACATGTTAAGCTACACAACGTTAAATTTCGATTTAAAGCTGCATTTCCCATAAATATGCTAAATTCCTCTTGATATGCAAATTCCTTTGTCAAGGCGCTCTTCCCCCTCCAACCCAGCTTAAATATACGTGCCAAGCCTGGTGGTGTTTCATTCAGACGCTGTCTTTCCCGACAGACCTGTTCTTCACCTGAGGACGGCTGCTTGCCGAAACGTCGTGAGAATTTTTCATTAAAAGAAAATATGTTTTATTTTTATTATTTTATTATTTCCCTTCTGCGTGACTTTACCGAAAGAACCAAGAAGACTACACAACGTTATTGATTGCCGTTTAGTATTTGCAAAAACAAAAGATCTTTTTTAACCGGAGTCGCGTGTTGTTTTTCCCTTTTCGGCGCGCAACTTTGTCGTAGGTATGTGAAGACCAGCGGTGCGAAGAGGAGGTCTTCACCTTGGCAATGAATTATTTGGACCGGTATTTGGCCGTGATGCCCACCAAAAAAAACCACCTTCAATTGCTCGGAGCCGCGTGCATGTTCCTGGCTTCCAAGCTCCGAGAAACGATCCACCTGACCGCCGAAAAGCTGTGCACCTACACGGACAACTCCATCAGACTCCAAGAGCTGCTGGTGACGAGATTTGAAACCCGACCACACAAAGCGGCTTTTCAATTCCCCTTTTCCCTGCTCTGTTACTAATTTTCTACAGCCATAAGACCTAATTTTCCAGCAACAAAACTGACACCTTTTTTGTTACAAGGAGTCATATTTGCATTGACCACAATACCTGCGGTCGGAAAGCAAACAAACAAACACAACTCTGATAATATATGCACTGTCCCTTTTATCTGACAAGTTTTGTTGCCAGATAAAAGGGTAAAAAACAATGATCATATTTGCTACTGGCCAATGAGATTCCAATGGTGTAAATGCTTCACCCCGAGCTCTCATACTCTGATGGTGCGTTGTCTTTGAGTTGTGCGCCTTTTGGCGTCATCTGGTCCAACACCATGTGAGACTAGGCTCTAAGGAAAGCTGTCTCGGGTGTGGACCAATCAACTTCAAGGACAGTGCATACATTATCAGAGTTGTGTTCTTGTTTACATTCCGACCGCAGGTATTGTGGTCAATGAAAACACGACTCCTCGTAAAAAAAAGGTGTCAGTTTTGTTGCCAGATAGAAGGGTAAAAAACCAATGATCATATTTTGCTGCTGGCAAATGAGGTTCCAATGGTCTAATTCTTCCATTTAGTGAGCTTATAATGATTCTGCTCTGTTACAATATTAGCCGTTGGAACTTGGAAGAAATTATATGAAACCGCCATCTTCCGACGTCCTCGCACAGTCCTGCGCGCTCTTCCTCGAAAAGAATAAATTGTCAAAAAATTTACCCGTAAAAACAAAGTTTTTCACTATAAATCCTTTATATGCGTGGCATCGGGGCGGCTAGAGTCCTTTCGTCCTCTGGCTTGAGATGGCTGCCACCTATGGGTCAGATGATTGTCTGGCAGCATTAAACAATTGGTAATTAAATATTAAAAAATTTCTCCCTAAAAAGTGTAAAATTTTGGAAATTTTTTTTCACGAAAATGCATTGTCACGCACAACGAGTCTGTGTGCAAAATGTCAGCTCGATTTGATCACGGGAAGTGGGTTAAAACACGACCGAAAGATTTGCACGGTCCTAAGCAAGCAAGCAAGTGAACTTAATATAAAGGATTTAACAAATCGGCGCTTCGGGGGTGGGTGGGTGGGTGGGGGGCACCGGATGAAACATCGGCAGAGCCAGCTGTAACGCCTTCTTGCGTCTTCTTCCACGTCTGGCAGGACATGGAGCGACTGGTGCTGTGCCGGCTGAGATGGGACTTGGCTGCCGTAACGCCGCACGACTTCTTGGAGCACATCCTCAGCGAGCTGCCCGTGCCGGCCGAGAAGCTTCAGCTCCTCCGCAAGCACACGTACACCTTCATCGCCCTCTGTGCACCGGTATGCACAGACATTTTTCCTTGAGCCTACTTTAAACGTGTGGGTTTTTTGGAAAGTAGTGTTTTTTTTCCATGGGTAATTTGTCAAACGTGTGCACGCTTGCGTAGAGCTGTTACAATATTACACACACCAGGGTGCACAACTCCCAGGGGCTAGGGGTCCTACTTTGAGTCTGATTCGGAGTGAGACCTCTGCTGATAAACTGGAGCCGGTCATGAGCACACTGCCCAGGTTATGGGAAACTCTCCACTCTCTCCACAACTGCCCCATCACCAATTGGGAGTTGTGGGGGTGGAGTGTCCGATGGTATAAAATACCCAGGCAGGTGCTTCGTTTTGGTGGGGCTGATGGTAAGGCCCCACCTCTTAGTGGCACGCTCCAGTCTCAGCAGCAGCGTCTCCAACTCCTCTTCTGAATGAGCAGCTATTACCAAATCATCGGCATACATGTGTAGAGAAGCTCTCACGGACGCACTCGGAGACGGAGGTAAGTTCGGGGCTTCCGCCAGGGTTTATTAAAGCTGTTACAATACACACACACCAGGGTGCACAACTCCCAGGGGCTAGGGGGGTCCTACTCTGAGTCCGGGTCCCTGCCGGCTAGCTCCGGTCTCTCTCTCTCTCGTGTCGGATCGGGGACTCTGCCGACTCCACCGACCGGAGAGAGAAGCCGTGCTTGTGATTCCAGCTGTGTTTGTGATTCCAGCTGTGTTTGTGATTCCAGCTGTGCTTGTGATTCCAGCTGTGTTTCTGATTCCAGGTGTGTTTGTGATTCCAGCTGTGTTTTGTTGGCTCGGTGCCTCCGTCCGTTGACGACCTTCCGCTTGTAACCGTCGCTTTTCTTTCCGTGTGAGCGGTGCTGAAGTACCCGCTGCTTCGGTGGAGCCAGGGAGGGAGAGGGGTGAGTGGAGAAGCCACCCGCTACGTGATGCAGGACACTGACCTCTGCGCGTGTGTTCTTCCACCGCGTGCGTGTGCAGACTTCACGTTCGCCACGTACCCGCCCTCCATGATCGCCGCAGCCAGCGTGGGAGCAGCCGTGCGGGGCGCGCGGCTCGGTCGGAAGGACGAGCGCCTGTCGGTTGCCCCGCTCGCCGAGACCCTCGCCAAGATCGTCAACAGCGACGCGGTGAGCCCAGCCGCCGCGTCCACCCAACACCCCCCCCCATCCCGCCTGCCCCCCCCTCCCCCCCCCCCCCCGAATGGGTCGTTCACGTTAATCGCGGTGCGTCCCGTCAGCCACAATCTGACAATGACCACGGATTGTACGCCGGGTCGTCGGTCGCTACCGTGTCCAAACGCTTGGCTCTCAAGCCCGCCGAGTTCCTGGCGAAGCTCTCCCCGGCGCACGGAGCGAAACGTCGGACGTCGTGCCGGATCACTTGCGGCGGAGGTCGCAAAAGCGATTCGTGGCTTTGCCGTCGCATTAGCAAACACCTTCGCCGTAGGGGCCCCCGACAACCTAGAAGATGAACCTAGTTCAAGTTCATTTAGTAGGTTTTGCCCTGTGAGCCATTCGGCTCTTGAATCGGGTGCAACCGCAACAAACAGAAAACAAAAACATGAACAAGAAAACATCTTAAAGTGAATATGTGACTGAGTGCAAACAGAAAATCAAAGAAAAGACAGCAAAATATTGCAGAAAAAAAACATCTTACACCAACACTGTGTGCAAACATCCCAGTGGGATGCAAGTCAAACAGCAACAACCACAAGACAACTTAGATTAAGGCCATCAGTCTAACTCTGTACTACAACAGACAAACATGGCAAAACCAATACACTTTTCGAAATCACCAAAATAAAGCCATAAAAGCAATGAAACAGTGCAGGTCATAGGAACTGTGACCGAATGTTCACAATAAAAGTTCACAATAGTTACTACGTAGCCCTGCTTACGTCTCCATACAAGTGACGGGCACCGCTAAACGTGCTAAATTCACGTGAAAGCGTGAATGAGCAATTTTGTACTGGCAAATGAGGTTCCAATGGTGTAAATGCTTTACCCCGAGCTCTCATACTCTGATGGTGCATTGTCTTTGAGTTGTGCGCTTTTTGGCGTCATCTGGTCCAACCCATGTGAGACTAGGCTCTAAGGAAAGCTGTCTCGGGTGTGGGCCAATCAACTTCAAGGACCATGTGAGACTAGGCTCTAAGGAAAGCTGTCTCAGGTGTGGACCAATCAACTTCAAGGACCATGTGAGACTAGGCTCTAAGGAAAGCTGTCTCGGGTGTGGACCAATCAACTTCAAGGACAGTGCATACATTATCAGAGTTGTGTTTTTTGTTTGCATTCCGACTGCACGTATTGTGGTTTATGCAAACACGACTCCGTGTAAAAAAAAGGTGTCAGTTTTGTTGCCAGATAGAAGGGTAAAACACAATTATCAGCGTGACCCTGCTTCAAGTGAGCGCACGCTGGTTGATTCTATTCCCCAGAGGGAGGGGAGGGGGGAGCCTTTTGCCACGGGTGGAAGTGACACATTCCGCTGATGACTTGCCAAGGAGGGAGCACTGTTGACTTGCATTTGGCATTAATAATTTATCAACCGCGGTGATGATCGATGCCTTTGACACTTGATAGCTGCGCCGATGATGATGTTGGTGGTGGTGACGATGGGTAACAATGATTAACGCCCTGCTGATGATGATGATGCTGATGATGATGCTGGTGGTGGTGGCGATGATGACTGCCCTGCTGATGATGCTGATGCTGATGCTGGTGGTGGTGATGCTGGCGATGATGACTGCCCTGCTGATGATGATGGGGGTGGTGGTGGTGATGATGATTGCCCTGCTGATGATGCTGATGCTGGTGGTGGTGGTGATGGTGGCAATGATGACTGCCCTGCTGATGATGCTGATGCTGGTGGTGGTGATGGTGGCAATAATGACTGCCCTGCAGATGATGCTGATGCTGGTGGTGGTGGTGATGGTGGCAATGATGACTGCCCTGCTGATGATGCTGATGCTGGTGGTGGTGGTGGTGATGGTGGCGATGATGACTGCCCTGCTGATGATGCTGATGCTGGTGGTGGTGATGATGGCCGCCCTGCTGATGATGATGGTGGTGGTGGTGGCGATGATGACTGCCCTGCTGATGATGATGATGATGCTGGTGGTGGTGGCGATGATGACTGCCCTGCTGATGATGATGATGGTGGGCGTGGTGGTGGCGATGATGACCGCCCTGCTGATGATGATGATGCTGGTGGTGGTGATGATGGCCGCCCTGCTGATGATGATGGTGGTGGTGCTGGTGGTGGTGGCGATGATGACTGCCCTGCTGATGATGCTGATGGTGGTGGGGGTGGTGGTGGTGATGATGGCCGCCCTGCTGATGATGATGATGCTGATGCTGGTGGTGGTGGCGATGATGACTGCCCTGCTGATGATGATGATGATGCTGGTGGTGGTGATGATGGCCGCCCTGCTGATGATGGTGGTGATGCTGGTGCTGGTGGTGGCGATGATGGCTGGGGGTGCTAATCCCTCTCGCCCCCCCCCCGGCAGCTCTGCCTGCTGGCCTGCCAGGACCAGCTGGAGGGCGTTCTGGGGGCGAGCCTCCCGCAGGCTCAACAGCTGCAGCAGCAGCAGGGCTCCCCGCAGTCACCGAGTGGCGTGGACGAGCTCGACGTGGCCGGCACCCCCACGGACGTACGGGACGTCGCGCTCTGACCGCACCCGCTGGTTTGTGTGGGGGGGGGGAGAGGCGTTCTCCGCGACCCGTCCCGACGAAGATCCTCCCGACGATCCTCCCGGCGACAACGAAAATCTAGGAGAGAAGAAAGTCAACGGCGGTGCAGCCCCTTGTGCTTTAATGTTTCCATTGAAGAGCTTTTACCCCCCCCACCCCCCGCCCTCTTTTGCCTTGAACTCCTGCAAGAAAACGAATATGAAATGGTGGAAGGCAGGAAGAGAAAGACATTTAGTTGAATGACTCTTTGGTTCTTTCGGTAAAGTGACGTGTAAAGAGAAAGTAATAAATTAAATACTAGCATACTACGACGTTTCGATTGCAACACAAGCAATCATCATCAGGAATAAATGAAATAGCAACACAAATCTAGTATACTTAGAAATGGAATGTAATACAACAGAGAGTCGGATAACATAACAGTCAACACCCTACCTGGTTGATTACGTTCTTCCTGAGAATGCTTCATTTGAGAGAGAGATAAAACACAGAACCAGAAACATACAGACAGACATATAAGCAGACAGATATCACAGAGATACATAGAGAGAGGGAACAAACATAGGCACACAGAGAAAGCAACGTCTCTGTATCGAGGCCTTGATGAGTGATGACCACCGTAGCTCTCCGGGTGATGTAGGTGTGAGAGCGCGAGATGGTCTGCACCTGGCAGTGCCGAGTGTTGCTACCTCGCCGTGAGCGACACTCACGGCGGAGTGGGAACACGTCCACTTGCGGGGTCGATGGAGCGAGGATATCCGAGTGTGTGTGCTAGATTCATTGTTGCGCGAGCGTGAGGGATGGCGGCAGCTTCGGAGAGGCCTTCATCTAGCAGTGGATAGAGCATGTCTGATGTGCGTACGCGGAATGCTAATGGAGCAGACAAAACTCTTCAAAGGAAGCAGAAAAAACTAAAAAAGTTTCAAAAAGAGAATGTTTTTTTCATCGAATTGTGACTCCAAATGACGACGTTCTTCTACTTACTTTGGAGGAGTCAATGGTCACGTGGCAACTAAGTGTGTGTAATCCTCAGAGTAACTTTACAATAATGATGAAAAATCCCACGATGGTTTGCAGTCCTTTGTTTATCCACCTATGAACGAAGGCCCCTCCATGCCACGGCAGTCACCAGAAATAATGACGACTTAGAAAATCGTTGAGAATGTGAGTTAACGTGTGTTACTGTCGTAGCCTAACCCCCCCCCCCTTTAACCACATCAGGTCCGGCCTTGCATCTTGGCCTCTCGAAACGAGCCAAGCTGACGCCTCTCCACCCTGACTCAACATGAAATCACCACGGATCACCACAGATCACCACGGACCACCACAGCCCGCCACAGCCACCAGCCACTGACTCTTTCAACATGCCATGACATGTCCCAGTCAGCCACTAAGCCATTCCACTTGCCACGGTCTGCAAGTGATACATTCCAAACTCTGAGCACTACCACGGTTTGCCACTGAACCATGGCCTTGTCTGGGACAAGCACTTACCCATTCAACCGCCAAGGGCTACTACCACTGACAGCCCAAGTGCAACTCAACTTGCCATTACTCAACGTATACAAGACCCGCCATGCCTCAATAGGTGCGGTCTGCTGTAAGCCGACCTGACTTGCCACCGTAGAGATTGCCGCAGCCCGCTGTGAGGTGACTGCTCGCTGCCTGCAGCCACGGCCTAAAGCACGGCTGCTAGACTGACTTGAACCACCGCCGAAGACAACCTCAGCTGCCGTGGCTGAAATCTGAGGCACAGTTTAACAGTGAAAGCCTTTATTCCAATTCAATAGCACGTTTTTGTTAGCACATGGATGAAAATCATCTGAATAACTTAGTTTTAATGCTTTTCGTTAGAGTCTGTAGAGCAGTTTCGTTCTGCATTTAGTTTATTGTTATATAGCACGAGTGTTTGGTGTAAACTTTAACGCAAGACTGGTTATAATTCTGTATGACTTCACGAGATATTGGCCGGACTAGAAATGTTTTCATCCTGGCCTCACTGCACAACTCTCAACCCATTGTCCTGAAATTTAAAGACGTGGCCCAAAATTCAAACGGCTGTTATCTTTCGATTAAAAGCTTTCGTGACTGCAGGGATTCATCTTCTTGGTTCTTTCGGTAAAGTCACGTAGAATGGAAATAATAAAATAATAAAAATTAAACAATACAATTCTCACGACGTTTTGGCCACAACGCAAGCAGAAGAACAGGTGAAGAACAGGTCTGTCGGAAAGACAGACGCTGTCTTTCCGACAGACCTGTTCTTCTGCTTGCGTTGTGGCCGAAACGTCGTGAGAATTGTATTTTATTATGTTTTATTTTTATTATTTTATGATTTCCCTTCTACGTGACTTTACCGAAAGAACCAAGAAGCTATTAACTTGCGGCTACACACCGATATTGTGTTCCCAGGACGCGCAGCCCAAGTTTGCGTCTGCGAGAGAAGAGCTACAGATTCTCCTCGCATTATACGGCTTCCTGTTTGTGCGATTTTGCGCTGTTTATGGGGCAAGCCGGTTCATACCCAAAATTCGCGAGATGCGGTTTCACTTAAGTCACGTGCGGCTACGCGCTCGGATGTAGGACAAGATTGTGTGTGTGTACTGTCCACACTACTCGGCAGGCAGCTGTATCCTTGTGCGGTGTCGCTTTGTGTGCCCTTTTTGAAACGCATCTTCTACTAGCGCAGACAGCGAGGGAAACCTGTACATTGCACTTGTTAATTTTGACTTGCATCTAGAAGGGTTTAGGGGGTCTGGATGCAATGTGACTTCGTGCTCCTTTACCAAAAGACATTCCAAACTCTTGCCCTCAGAAATACAATCCAGGTTTTAATGCACACACACACACAAGTAAGATGAGTGCAGTCACAGGTAACGGCAGTGTTTGTTTTAAAGCTTTCGTGACTGCAAGGATTCACATTTTTGGTTCTTTCAGGTAAAGTCACGTAGAAGGGAAATAATAAAGTAATAAAAATATAAACCAATTAAATTCTCACGACCTTTCGACTGCAACACAAGCAATCACCGTCAGGTGTGAAAACCACAGCAAGTAAATTTTAAAAAAATTGTATAATTTTATTTCGATTTAAAGCTTTCGTGACTGCAGGGATTCATCTTCTTGTTCTTTCGGTAAAGTCATTCTACGTGACTTTACCGAAAGAACCAAGAAGATAATTTTATTGTTTTATATTTTTCTTATTTCCCTTCTACGTGACTTTACCGAAAGAACCAAGAACACGGTGTTGTTTGTATCTTCATGGAGAAGACGGGCCAGTGTGCAGTGACTTGGAATAGGTCACACGACGGTGTGTAGCGCTGGTTGCTGGCAACAAGGGGGCCTGCAGTTGAAGTCAGCCCGGTGTGTCAGCAGGTCAGGGGATCGGCTGACAGAGGGGACGTGAAGTAAGCCGGGAACCTTCTGGCAGGGTCCTAGAAGGGGGCGTTGTTGTTCTTCTTGGTTCTTTCGGTAAAGTCACGTAGAAGGAAAATAATAAAATAATAAAAATAAAACATAAAATTATTCTCACGACGTTTCGGCCACAACGCAAGCAGCCGTCTTCAGGTGGAGAATTATTTTATGTTTTATTTGTATTATTTTCTTTCTACGTGACTTTACCGAAAGAACCAAGAAGATGAATCCCTGCAGTCACGAAAGCTTTAAATCGAAATTTGTCGTTGTTGTTGTTTGGAGTGGAATCCATGGAGCTGCACAAGTCTACGTCATCACCTTCGGCATCGTCTGCATCGTTGTTGGCCAGGCAGCCTGTTGCTGTCCTGACCCTGGCATCGTTGCCTGTGACGGCGACAATAAAACAGAGTGCCTCCTCAATACGACTCGTGTCTCTCTAAAGTTTCGTGTCTCTCTAAACTAATTCAGCATCAAAGGGAGGGGATAGGGGTAGCATTAATAAAGGGAAGGAGTGTTAATAGTATGTAGCTGCTGATGCTGAATTAGTACTATTCACATACCTGCATTTCCCATATCCTCTATGCTTAATACAATGAACAAAGTAATATATAGTATCGTAATTGTATAGTAAATAAATAGCAGTGTGATACACATTAGGGTGGGTAGAATAATACATAGTGTTATATTAAAATGTATAAGGTGGTTTATAGCAATACAGTATGTAATTTAATGTTGGGTTTGTCTATGGCAGTATATAGTACGGTGTAGACTCGTGTGATGTAAGAGAATAAAGTTTAGATGGTAGCATATTATATAATTTTTACGACGTAGAATTGTAATGTATAACTTACAGTTAGTAACTCAGCTTATTGTAGAGTATAGTAAGTATACTGATGATGCTATGTAGTTTATACTTTAGTTGTTTACGTGGTGGTTTTAGTTACTGCAGCTACATACTATTAACACTCCTTCCCTTGATTAATGCTACCCCTACCCCCTTCCTTTGATGATGAATTAGCACTATTCACATTCCTGCATTTCCCATATCCTCTCCCTTTGATGCTGCTAATCCTGCATAATGCACGGGCATATGTAGCACTAATCACATTCCTGCATTTTCCATAAATATGCTAAATTCATCTTGATATGCAAATTCCTTTGTCAAGACGCCCAGCTTATATACATGCTCCAAGCTCGTGTGCTGTTTCATTCAGACTCTGTCGCCTCGACAGACCTGGTCTTCACCTGAGGACGGCTGCTTGCGTTGTGGCCGAAACGTCGTGAGAATTATTTTATTATGTTTTATTTTTATTATTTTATTATTTCCCTTCTACGTGACTTTACCGAAAGAACCAAGAAGAAGAAGATACTTGGGATCGATTCCCGCATTCCCCAAGCGCAAATTTTTTTTAATCAAATTTTAAATGTTACTTCCCAGCGTTAGTGTCTGTGACATCTTCACATTGGTGAACCACCTGGAAGTACCCTGACCTCTTGTCGCTCTCGATGTTGCTGTTTTGAAGCCCTGTGAGGACGTTAGAGATGTGACGAGAAATACAAAATATTATCG